TGCAGCATAGTCATATTCGACTCTCGTTGGAAAATATGCAGATGTAGCATGCGCTGGCTTGTACACTGCAACCAAAAACGCAGGCCCGTATTTTGACGCGTTCTGATAATATAATAAACAGACAAGACAACACCAAAAGATAGCATAGTAATACTACAACACTAGCACTGTGCTGCGAGTAGGTACAGTAATACTGACATAGTGAAGCACAGTGGAACCAATCATCATTCTCAGCACTCGATTCCCCGCTGGCATCGTTTGTGTTGACAGCAGTGGCTGCAGTGACCAGCAGCGGTCAACATTGCGGGCAGAATTTTGTGCAAGTAAAGAAGGCGAGGATGCCGGTGTTTATGCTGATGGTGATGCTGATGATGATGATGGTGATGGTTTTGGGCTCCCACATCGCAAGCCATAGCAAGCACGATGCTGCTGCTGATGATGATGGTGTTGATTATATGATGTTGTAATACACGTGAACAAGCTGGTGACAAGGAGCAACGTTACGACGAAGCTTGCTGTGTGCGGGTTGGGATGGCAATACATTATCATTGCTCTTTCCAGCCATTCTACAGACGATGGCGACGACAACGACATGCAAAAACACTGACAACAATGCGCATGGTGCTGGTGATGGTGGCGAAGATGCCGATGGGCGTGTTGGTGGAGGTACTCGGTGGAATGATGCTGTGCTAGAGTGCTGATGCAGATGATAGTAGCTAACAAGGCTCTGGAGACCCGCAGTACCTCGACGATGATGATGGACCGAGCCCTAGCTGTCTAGCACCGGTCGATGAGAGGGAGATAACTCTGCATGAGATGGGAACGGCTTCCCATGCCAGTTGTCGGTAAATGAAATCTGTTCTAGGCTTCGACGACAAGCTTCCTCCGCCGCAGATAATTAAAGGGATCCCGCACAAATTGATTCTGCCCTTTCCCGGCCCGAACAATGCAAGATTCACCCGTCACCGGCTAAGTAGGTGCGGAGCAGCACGCAGCGGTTCACCCCGATGCCTCCGTTCGGCCCGGCGTCGGCCGCGCCGCCGCTGCAGCTACCGGTGCCTGCCAGAAACGTGTCTCTGACTGCTTTCCAGTAGTGCCACCGAGCACGTGCAACTTCCGCCGCAAGACGGAGGAATCACCTATCCCGTCAAGAAACAGACCAGAAGCAGCTGCTCTTACTCTAAACTCTAAGCAGCCTCAATCATGTAGTTTCGGGTCCTGCATGACCGCCGAGAGCTGGAGAGAAGACCATGGAGCCCCGGGAAATGCGGCGGTTTCGCCAAAACTACAGGATGAGGAGTTTGTTGTTTTTCCCTCCTACTTAGCAAAGACGAGCTGCATTGCAGGAGGGATCCGGGTTTTGCACTTTAAGGCTTTAAGGCTCTCGGGCTTGAGCCGTGCCCGTACCCGAATAATTCCCCTGTAAAGCAAGCTCAATCAAAGCCACGCATGGAAGAAAGCGGACATCATGGGTTGAGCTCAGGTTTTCGGGCACTGGAACACATGCGACAAATCTCTGTCCACACTTGGAGCTACAACTATCAGTGACTCAAAACTGAGTAGTGAGTAGGGAACCCTAGAGCCAAGAGAATCAGATGCGTTCGAAAATCTCTGCATGCAGGGTCAGGAACAGTGGTTTCAGAAATTTCTTAATATTGGACAAGTCAAAACGAGTCAAAACCCCAAAACGGACAGATATAAGGAGCCTTCATGCCCATGTGACGCAGCTAAACCACATCTAAGCCGCCAGCATGCTTCAGAGGTCATGGTACAGCCTAAGCATGACCTAGCAAACATGCCTGTCTAGATGAAACGACACCGGTAGGATACATGCAGACCAGAGCTACGTAGCGCAGGCTCAGGCACATGATGACTTAAGCGGGAAGGTGGACTTCACAGACAACCGTAGGCACTTATGTTTCTTAGCGCACTTTTTCGAAAAGATCTTGGAATAAGTACCCCATCGTTCTTGCTATGCGTATTTATCAATGCCTTAGTTGCTTTGACCCTTATGGGTACTATCACTTAGGGTCCCTTTGGTTAACGTTTGACAGTCAGTCTCATATTATGCTTGAAGCACGCGTTTCTCCAGGCCGTCCATGTCGCGAAAATTGAGAGTCAATGTCTTCGTCGGTCTGGGCCCACAGCAATTTCTGTCTATCTATCTATCTATCTATCTATCTGACATAGGAGCCTTAAACATTTCGAACAAGGTCTTGGAGCATATTATATTTTGACGATAACAAGGACCCAAAGTTTAAAGATTGTGTCACTGATTATTCTGATGCTTGTAATATCTAGTTTTCGGTACAGGCACATGAACCCACGAATGAAGATGTAGATAGAGAGAGAGAGGCCCATCTGCCCTAGTCTCTGTCTACTTACCCCCCTGCTTGTCTAAACATACAAATACACAAGTGAACAGAAACAGAACAGGCAGAGATGCAGAAAGTAGATCTACACATCCAGTCAACGATATCCTTGCCCATGCGCACCTGCAAAACCTGTTTGCTTCCTTTCAACGCTACACCCCCAGCGAGTTGACTTCCTGCCCTTCGCCTTCTGCCCCAACTAAGAATAAACGCCGAACGTAAAGCCCTCGCTCGCCCTAAACCCGAAAACCCTAGCCCTAGCCCCTACCTGGAAACGACCGTGTGAAACCGAAGGCCAGTCATAAGGCAGGTTCCAGCTCAGGGTTGCTGGTAGTGAAGTCCTCTGGCGGTCTGCAAAGCATGCGGGCTTAGGGGTTTTGGGTAGGTCCCAGCTGTGTTTGAATGTCTCTCTCTGTCTTCCGTCCCTCTCTTAGGCCCCTGCATACTCAAGCCTGACGGCGCCTTTCTCCGTGTTTATGGCTGCGCAGTAAGGGGGTACTGTGATTTGTGCACTCAGACTTGCCCGATGGATGGACTCTGGCAAGGAGGCAGCTCTGCATGTTAGCCTATGTAAGTATATGCCCGGCGTAGGCGTGGGTAAACAAACCTGTACTCAAACGTGTGGAAGGCTCGACTCGCAGCGGCGCCTAGTGCCGCATGCGTTTGAAAGACCCGTTGCCCCAGCCCCAGCAGCCCTGAAACCCCCAAGCCCCTGCCTTGACAAAGAAGTCCAGGTCACCCTCGACCTTCCCGCAGGGCGCAGTATATAGCTACATATATACACATATGCACCTACCCATGGGCTGACCTATCTATCTACCTACCTACCTACCTATCTATCTATTCCTGTTTCTATTTGCCTATCTGCCTATCCATCCATCGATCCATCTATCCATCTATCGATATACCTACCTGTGAACTGTGTAAATATTATCTCTGTGTGTGTGTGTGTTTGTGTGTATCTTTCTCTGTCAGCTTAAACTAGGTTATGTCATATCAGATCACACCGAATGTAGTAATTGTACAACTTGTTGATGACATGGTATGCTAAATGTTCTGCACCAGGTCAGAACGTTTAAAGTTGAATGTCGGGTGTGACGGTTAGGGCGATCATGATGCATATGGAAATTGTCGACTGCTTGCACGTCGATTGGCCGATGAGGGCTTATGCTGTCTGGACATATGCACACTCGGCTTGGAGTTCAGGCTCCTGGATTTTGCAATTTTGGAACCAGGGTAGAGGGTTTTCAGATGTTGCGGCGAAGGCTTCTAGGTCTTTCTCGACATGCGGATTTTTTCCAATGGTTGGTGCAGAATTATGGGTATCGCGGCACTGGACTGATCGGAGTAAGCGACCTGCCTTGCCACAGTGCCGAAAAGGCTTCAAAGCAGACATCTCAACTTGACTCAGCCGTCGGCCGCGGGCTCGCCCGCAGAAAGCAGCAACGTCTCGGTATGTGGCTGTGTACCACATGCGTGTCTCAACATAACCCAATGCCAATGTAGATGTTCAACTAAAACAGTAGCGAAAGTACTACTGGCGCTCTACCCACAACACAACAGCTTTTGGCCACGCCTTCTCTCGCGCTGCTCCCCCGAAGCGATCGGTGAACACCTTGTCGTCGCAGGTGGAGAGGGATCGGAGCGCCCCTAAACAACCGACCCATAACTCCATTTTCCCGCGCTGAATTTAGTCCCTGACAACTCCATCAAGATGGTCGTACTCGTGCTGGAACAGCCGTGCCTGCATCTCGGACGGTGTTGGAGTAAGGGATAAGGCAAAAGGGTTCAAACACAGGGTTAAGGACTATCAGGTCTTAACCGGTATAGATGTACGGAGCGATGGAATCTTCAGGGATTGACGAATATTTGTGTAGGTCGCCATAGTAGTTTTGCAGGGTTTTTTTCCCTCCTACTTAGCCGTTCACGAGCAGGGTTTCGGATTTAGGGCCACGCGCTCAGAGGGTCGGGCTGGCACATGAGACATGACGGGGCTTTGGCAGGCTTTCCCGTTTCGAACCACGAGGAACAAATCTATAGAGGCGGCCTCCAAAGCTCCATGATCTGCAGTCTTAAATGGGTTCGTGTGATTTAGGTTAGGATGAGCATGTTCGGCTGCATTTTCCGATGCGCGAGAAGCCGCGTCCAGACATCGGACTTCCCCGGTAACGGACCTTGATTGTTGGCACATCTCGTCATGGGGAATATCCAAGGACGTGTTGTACGTCCGCCATCTTCACCACGCTTCCTCAATCCACATGACGGGAGCTCATGGGTACTTGGCATCTGTAAGCTTCCTTAGCTGCTCATGTCATGCAAGAAACCAACACCCATCCGACGGGATCCGCCTTTTCGCACCATCCTCTCTCCGAAACACGTGCACCGCAGGCCAGCCAGACTTCGAAGACATGTCTCGCGAGTCAGTCTGCTAAATGTCAACTGGGCAGGAGCAAACATGCAGGGCCATCATAACACTCACTTGCATCATGTTCCCACACCCCCAAAACCCAAAAACCCAAACTACTTCCATATAACGTGGTCAAACGTAACGTCTCATTTTATGACCTGTTACAAAGAAATATCATACAGCATAGTGCGTGTTAACATGATATGGTATGCTCTTGCGTGTTCTACTCTAGTCTAGTCTATCCAGTCGAAAGCACACTACCGCAAACTAGAAGCTCGTTGGGGAGACTTCGGCCAAGCAGCACGAGTTCATCCCAGAGTTTTCGGCGAGACGCCTCCTTTCAGAAAGCTGGACTTGAAAGCTCTCCCAAATCCCAACTAGCTTTGAACTGTTTCTTGGGTTTAAGAGGTTGCAGTTTGGAGCGGACAAGGTCTAGGGTTTCGAGGCTTCGGTTTGTCTGGAATCCCGCTGGAATAGGGCTACGGCACAGGGTGAACCGACGAAAGAACCTTGGAGATAATGGGAAAGACAGGAGGAGAACGAGAATCTGCTTCAATGCTCTGTTCCTAAGTCTTTCCCAGCCACTTTGCAACAGGCCCAGCCTGGAAAGGGGTCACGACCTTTTACGGTAAGCTTTTACGGAACAATCTCAGTCTTCCCAACTCTAACTCTGACGAGCGGCATCCCCTTCACGAAACCAGAAATTGAAAGGGATTCGGCAGAAGAGAGACGACCCTGAGCTCTGCATTTATGGGTTTAGGATGCTTTAGTCTTGAAGGCGAACGCAATGCCAGCATATACCAGTGTGATAGTCACAAGACTCATTGTCGTGTATGGCACTGAAGCCAACATAAGGAATATGAGTAGAAATGATGGCAGATCCCTTTCTAAATCTGCGCGCTTCAGGCCAGCACTCGTTGCGCAACAAACAACTATATGCCTGCCTGCAGACGGTCACTTTCCAGATGGTTCTTTGATGTTCTTTGCTTCCGGTGACGACACCTCCCTAAACCTTAACTTCGGATTATACTCCGGCTAATCCTTACAAAGCCTCAGATCTTGCTCCAAACAGCCGTGGTGTCTTTCGAGTCCATTGCTTTAGGCGGATCAAAGGCCATACAACGGCTATACACATTGATTCTGAAGCTGATCTTGCTGAATAAATAGCCCGAATCATCCATGTGTGTGGTGCAACGTCACAATGCTCACTCTCCTTTCACTTGCAACCAAACTGCCCGAACATGCCCGAACCCGTGTTCGCCCAAATCCAGTTGCACGAGCGAGGGCCTTCTCGCCACAGCAATAGCCTTTCCCTTCACCGGAGCTCGTTTGGAAGCGGTCCTGAATGACAACACGCTTCTCAAAAACAGCGCCTTCTATGCTGATTCACTTCACCAACCTTCGGATCGCCTCGTTGCTAGCACATCCCTCCCTGCGGAAGAAGTCAAATACGTAGTCCCCAATGCTGGGGCGTCTTCAAGAGATTCCTTTTATGGACACCTGGCGGCTTTTCGAAGTCCTGTGTGAGCATCTCAAAGGATGTGGTTGCCGACCGCACCTGAAGATTTCTCACACAGTGCAACGGGTGCAAGGTCATGCCGGCACAGTTGCAAGCATAGTACGGGAAGAAGAACCCAAAGCTTCGAAAAACTTTTACTACGCCTCTCGATTCTCAGACCCCTACCTACATGCAGAGGAAGAGTCTGGGGATTGATGTGTACATGCTGATCCCAATCATAGCGCGCAGCTCCTGAATTGAACACAAATCCGAGCGAAAAAAAGCTGGTACAATGTTGCCGAAGAATGCTCCGGGGCACCGATGCACCACCGAAGCCCCATCCTGCTCTCAGCATCTTCGTGTCCTCACGTCTTAGCTTGGAATTTTCAGGGGGGTCTGGATTTTACAAGGACGTTACACTTTGCTAGGGACTTTTAGGGTTGTATAAGGGGACTCTAGGGTTGGACGATTCCTACCTCATGCCAAACCCAAACTTTAATCATCATGTAGCACCCACAAAACCGTAGCGTCTGGTAGGATTGTGGGATCCATACATCCCTTGGCATGCGCTGCTATTGACCGGGACCCCACAGTTGACACATTTCCCACGAATCTCTCATGCACGCAGCAGCGACATTTAATGTCATAATCCAAGCGACCACCGTGCCTGGATCCATGGTGTGAAAGCTGAGCCTGGCTATGGTTTTTTGGGTCTGGGACGTAGGGACAGATGGCCCCCTTGAAGCGTTGCACCGCGAGACGAACAGTACTCTCAGGTGAAAAAAGCAAAGGCACTTGCAGTCCTACTCAAGTTGTCTGCTCGGGTACAGGTGTACCCGGTGAGGCTTTAGACCGCCACCGTGCGCTCATGGCAATCATAGCCATGCCGGGGCGTAACGCAACCTAAAACCTTAAGTCCACCTTTCATCCACCGAAGGTCGGCAACAGCTCCGAAAAATTAACATTCGCCTTGGTGGATCCCCGTAGCGCGCATCGAGCTCCATGGTGATCATGGCATCCTGGGTTTTTACCCGCCCGCTTCGCGCCCTGGGTTTAGGATTTCAGCGCTCGTACTCGGGCAATCCAGGCGAGGCATGTGGTCTTAAGTCGGCAAAGTGAATCAAACTGACGGACAGGGAGAGCGTTCACAACAAAGTGCCTACAGATAGCAAGAGGATTTGCAGCTACGCGGGACCACAGCATGAGGGCGTGCCAAGTGACAGACTTAGGGAACCCAATCAAGGTTGATGAGAACGGGATGTTGTAGGTAACACTGTGATCCTCTGTGATTCCTCACGAATCTTGCCAGGCCATTGGCCACATGCGCCAACACAGCCATGACAGCAAGTAAAATGAGCAATAGACATCATAAACCGAAGGAGCCCAAGTAGACATCCACCTAGAGGGCATAAATAGTATGCTAATAGGCATCGAATTAAGGCGAGCCGCTCAGTCGCATTCACATATCGAAATTAACCCCTTAGAACTAGAAGTGCTTACAGGTGCTCTTGACAAACGTAGTGCAGCTCACGTACTTTCTTCATCAGCCCGTTGCTTTATGAGCTGCCGTTCAAGTTTCTCGACGACGACTGCGGCGGCGGGCACATTCCTTTGCTGTACGTCCGTCTCGTTGCCCAGACACGCGCGGGCTATTGCCGGGAATCACCGCTTGCAAACCTACGTCATTTGCACAGTTGATTCTTCCTCGTCGCCCAGTGGGTTGGTGAGCCTCAAAGCCATCGACCGTGGAGACGACTTTGTTCGACCAGGCATCCATTCCACATCCAGGCGAACAAGATCATGCAGATCATGCATTTGCGGGTGTTCCCCATGCGCCAAATTCCACATCACACACTTGCAGGCCAATTGCCGCTCATTGCTTGTATCTTTTCCAATAGGACGGTACAAAAGCGAGGCCTTTGCAGCCCGTTGTTCTCATCTGCAAGCAGGCGGTTGATAGTTGTACCATGCTAGTTGCACATTCCAATTACGAATTAACTTGTGTCGGCGCCACATGCTGTCTGTCTCCAGACCGGTCAGAGTCGCAGCTTCTCATATGCCAGGGAAAACCAAAGGTGCTGCTGCCCAGAAAGGTTTCCTCTTTGTAGGGTTTAGCATCTTCAAGCATGCAAACCTTGGACTATTGTCATGAAGAGACGCCTAAACATGTCTAACAGTCCAAAAGTCCGATGGGTTCAGATCAACTTGCACGCACACCTCTCGTAAACGCACGGGCCTCCTTCGTTTCTGACCCTCCACCCTTAACTTATAAAATGTAAAACTCTTGTAGATCCCTTATGCAACCCTCGAAACCTCATGGCCGAACCCAAATAATACTAACAAACAGGCCGAGAGCTCACTTGCAGGGGCTTCAAAGCTCTCTGGGTCTGGGCTCAGGGTTAGAGGTCGGCCGTAATCAAGCCAAATCCATAACCCTAAACTTATCGACACACGGCCTTGCACCCTAAGCCCCTAGAGCCTGAACTTTTGGAAGGCTGTAAGGGCCTTTGTTCGACTTTAATGACTTTAAGAGGACCCTCGACAAATCTTGTTCTAAGCCTCAAAAACAAGTCTTAAACCCTGAAGCCCTAAACCCCAAAGCCTTTATTGCACTGCAGAAAAGCCAAGCGGCACAAAGCTTGCTTAGCTCGTAGGCCCGGTGGTCGGACCTAGCGGGTTCTGTTTCCAGGGCCTAGCACGGATTTGTGTTTTGGTATGTAATGTATGTAATGTATGTAATGTATGTAATGTACGTAATGTACGTAGTGTATGTAATGTATGTAATGTATGCAATGTATGTATTATAATGCACACAGACTCACTCGGTGAATAATGGATGGATTCATTGGTTGATAGATCGACTGGCACTCGCACAAGGCAGACAAAGCCTCAAGGCGAAATGTCTCAGAAAACATCTGGCTTCCGGGTCAGGGCCTTGATAATATAGATCGCAAGAGATATAGAATTGGTGTTATTAAGCTATTATTATGATTATTGTTACTTGATTATCATGAGTACTATCACTACTATATATTGGCTCCTCATCAAGTGGCAGCTGAGGGTCTCACCAGTGCTTCTCGCATTGCAAGTCGGACAAAGCCTTGGGAGTTTTTGGGAATGTAGGCGGCTACTCGGCAAATGGAGTTTATGCTCTCATAACTCGGACAAGGTCGGCGTGACACAGTCACGAGCTTCCTTGCCGGATGGGGATTAGGGTTTCGACACTCGCACTTGGGTTTAGGGAGTTAGGGTTTCGACACTCACACTCGCGCACAGCAGGCAAGGCTCGACATGGTTCAGTCTCCACTAAGCGGGTTGGGCCCGAGGACCACAGGACCCACAACTCTAAGCACCACAAAAAACCTGACCCAAACCACAACCCGTAAAATACCACCCAACAGCAATAAGTGCATACACCTGCCCAACTCGAGCATGGGCAGCCGAAGGCATTACTTCGGCCCCTGTTTCAAAACAATCAATGCATGCTACTCTCTGCTGCCACACGCATGCACTCCTCAGCAGAAACTCACTTCCCATGCACCCCATGCTTGAATGCTTCATGTATTCAGACTGTGTAAGTATACTGATATCCATGCAGTCAATTCCCCATGCACTGCGAAAGGTATCACAAAAAGCCAGTGACCTCCCCAGATCGACATATAGCCTTGCAACAAATTCCAGTCCATCGCTTGCAGTCTGCAAACATCGTCAACGTTTAATTCAGCGTGCAGGTGCCCAAAGTGTCACATGCATCCGCTCCCATTCCACCATGCAGAGTGCACCATCAGTAGTTCAACACAGAATCCGATGCACCACGCATTCTTAAAGCCACACCGGAGAGTTCGTCATTCAGGGAAGCAGCCCCTCCATAAATTCCATGCAGAAAGTGGGCAGAAACACCCATGTAGCTTGCATTTGGCAACCCACAGGATATCAGAATTCTGGGTTGACGTATGCTCTCATCACCGTCTCGCAGCGAAGCGCCGACCGTGCCCAAGCAATAGTCCACGTGCAGAAACCATGCGCGAATGCGTACGCGAAGGCACATGTGTCGGAAAACATCCTCAACCGTGTCCGCATTTTGGACGGATTAGTTTCATTTACTGACTTTTGGCCGTGCAACGCCGAGCATGAGAGACCCAACGCTTCTAAAATCCTAGACTTGTAAACCCAAAGCTCCATAGCTCTTCTGCAATCGGGACCCTACCGAAAGATTGCGGTTCTGGGAGTTACACATACTGAAAGCTGTCAGCCCTGTACTCCTGTACGCTGCACATCAGACTCTAAGACTAGCCCCCATGAAAGGAATACCCTCCACCGGAAACCACAAGAAAACGCCCCGGACTGTAGCCTTCAAACAGGAAGAACATTTGAGGGGAACACCCTCAAGTCCTAAACCTCTGGTCCTGAGGGGACGACATCCCGAGAGCCAGCGGAAATCGAGGAAGTAATCAGGACCCGGCCTGACCATATAATATAATGTATTATATTATATTGTCTTCTAATGTAATATATTATATAGTATTATGTCCAACAACAGTTTCAGGTTAAGGGTCTCGACTCGCGCACTCGCACGGGGTAAGCGCAGGGTTTAGGATGCAGGGCTCGAGCGGCTCCGGAATGTTAGCTTCGTTCTTTCGGGTTTAGGGGCAGTGATACTATGGTATTATGGCGGCCTGAATGATTGGACTATGGTTTTGGGGAGCAAATGGTATATAAAGCAACCCTCAGGACCTGTTACTTTGCTCAAGCTTAAACATGATGTTCAGCTTAGGGTCTGCGGTGCATCTTGACATGTGCCACACCCCTATTTGTTGTTTAGGATCATCCGCCCCGTCATGCACACTTGAAGATCTTCAGTCAACCATCTCTCAGGAGATTGGAGCTAGTGCAGAAGAGATAGCTCGTCAGCGAACATATAGTACAGTGCCAACGAAGAAAAAAAGTTCCTGTGCAAAGGCATCAGCCTCTCGACTGTTTTGTGGGAAGCGAAATCCAATGAGCAGGTCATCAGACCCACATATAGGTCGTGTTGCAAAGAACAGGCCGAACACGAGAAAGCGATTCTAAAGCGATCTGCTCTGAAGCTCCTTCTGCTACCTTGTTGTGAAGCAAAGAAGCATCAGCTTCTGTTGTAGGGTACCAGACTTTGGTTTCCATCGAGAGTCGATCCACACAGCTAGCTGGCCTCGTCTCTAAACTATGGATTTTTGCACGAAACTGCGAAACACAGCGGCGCTGTTCAGAAGCTGCAGACCAAGGCCTGCCCCTGATGCCCGGACGTTTTCCAGCAGCAGGGAGGTGAGCAAGAAGGGGGCAAGGACGTTCACAGCAAGCCTGGCCCATGGCTTCCACGGATTTCACTCCAGCGGCCCTGTGCACTGAGTCGGACAACCGGGGTCCCCGGCGAATACTCGTTACCCTCAGCCGTGACCTTCCGTGTGCCAGTGTAGTCCCCCGCAAAAGTACCTTCGCGATGGCAGCAATTGGATATGCCAGAAACCCCGACAGACCATGGCTTGGCTCGGCAATGCTTAGTTTCTCTTCCAATGAGCAAAGGACTGTCAGAAGCGACATTCCGGAAGTCAGCACGCTCTGCCTGCGTTGTTGAGCAGGCCGTGGATTACCTGAGCACGCAGGTTTCGGGACTCGGACCAGCGGCAACTGCTAGCAGCCAGCTCGCACGGTCAAGTCACCAAAATGCACGTGGCATACTTTATGATATATATAGGGTTAAACGGTTAAACCAAGCTCACGGGCAGCTTCTCCAATCACCATATGTAAGGATGTAGAACACAAGACTTGGTCTTGCGAGTCAGGTTGCCGGGAACTGCTTCGAAACCTCCTCACCAAGCCTCTTCGAGACGGCTGGTCCGGAAGCACAATGCACTCGGAAGAATCAAGGCTTAGAAAACTCATGCATGGCATACCAAGGCCACGCACATTCAATGAAGGCAACACATACATGCGAAACCTGCAGATTCATGCCAATCTACGTAGATAGATGTGTACATGCATGGGGACATCACATGTGCACATCAACTGCTGAATCGCCCTTTGTGTCTCAGATATGTCAACGAGCACTCTTGGAAATAGGCCAAAGATCACTCGAACAAGGTTTCGTTCGGAGACGCTTGTCTTTAGCAAATCCAATACCACCCATAACAACCTTTAACCAAAGCTCTACACATGCTTGATTGCGATCTGACTCTTAGCCTCTACT